GGCCCATACAAAGGAGGCCAGAATTCTTCCATGCAGCCATCAGTGCCGTAGGTGTATCTCTTTACCTCTAAATAGATCCGTGTGTTTTCCTAAGAATAGGACATTCTCTCTCATAACCACAGAAGAGTTATTGACAGTAGGGAATTTCACATCGAAGCACTATTTCTACCTAAAGAGACCCAGACAAGGAGCTGCTTTGGTGATGCACTGAGTGTGCGTTAGGCTGCCAACCACAAGGTCAGCAATTTGAAACTACCAGGCTCTGCTCCAGAGGAAGACAGAGCTTTCTACTCCCGTGCAAATGGAGACTTGGCAGAAAATGACAGGGGTAGTTCTCCCCTGTGCTGTACGGTCGCCAGGAGTCAGAATCAACCGCATGGCAGTGGGAGTTGTCTTTTTTTAGGATCTATGTCTGTGCCCATTCCAAAGAAAGATGATCCAACAGAATGTGGAAATTATCAAATCGTATCGTTAATATCACATGTAAGCAAAATTTGGCTGATGATCACTCAGCAATGATTGCAGCAGTACATTTGCAGGAAACGCCCAGAAATCAAGCTGGGCCCAGCAGGTAACATGGCCTGGGGGATATCACTGCCGATGTCAAAGGCGATGCCTTGGCAGACAGGGGAGAATACTAGAATGGTTTTTACTTGTGTTTTACTGACCAAGCAAAGGCATCCGACTGTGTGATTATTAAAAATAAAACTATGTGTAGTATTGAGAAGAGTGGGGATTCCAGAAAACTTCCTTGCACTTGTGCAGTAAGTGCCCATAGACTAAGGCAGAACGAGGAGATGCTGTGTAGTTTGAAATCAGGAAAGGTGTGCATCGGGGATGGATCCTTCCACCAATCTATCTGCTGAGCAAATAAGCTGAGAAACTGGGTTACATGGAGAGGAACAGGGCATCAGGGTTGGAGAAAGGCTCATGAACAACCTGTGATACATAGATGACCCAAGCTCACCTGCTGAAAGTGAAGAGGACTTGGATGGTACTTACTGATGAAGACAAAGACTACAGTCTTCAGTATGAATTACAATTCAGTGTAAAGAAAACCCAAATCTTCACAACTGAACAAATAGGTAACATCGATGGTAACTGGTGAAAATATGGATGTTGTCAAGGATTTAATTTTGCTTGGATCCACAATCAATACTTATGGAAGTAGCAGTCAAGAAATCAAACAGCATATCACATTAGACAAATCTGCTACAAAAGACCTCTTTAGACTGTTTAAAAGCAAAGAGATCATTTTGATGACTGAGGGCCACCAGACCCCAACGATGGTATGTTCAGTTGCCTCATATGCACGTGAAAGCTGGACCGTGAGTAAAGAAGACTGAAGAAGAACCGGTGGAGCTGCATCATGGAGTCGATGAAGACTATTGCAAGTACCGCGATGGCCAAAAGAACAAACCACTCTGACCTGGAAGAGGTGCAAATCAGAATGCTCCTTAAAAGCAAGGGTGGAGAGACTTCATCTCAAGTACTTTGGACCCATTATCAGGAAGGTTCAGTCTCTGAAAACAGACTTACAATGTAAGGCTGAGGCAGGACTGGGCAGTGTTTCCTTTGGGCATATGTAGGGTTGTGCGGCGAGGAACTGATCTGATGGCACAGAACAACTGTCCTTATATAAGACGCTGTGGGGCAGCGGTTCTCAACCTCTGTGACGTGGCCCCTTTGGGGGTCGAATGACCCTTTCA